CCCCCGACCCCCCCGGACAGCAGGCTGACGTGGGGGGGCCCGGGCCGTCCACCCCCGACCCCCCCGGGACAGCAGGCTGACGTGGGGGGGGTGGGCTGTCCACCCCCGACCCCCCCGGGACAGCAGGCTGACGTGGGGGGGGGCTGTCCACCCCCGACCCCCCCCGGACAGCAGGCTGACATGGGGGGGCTGTCCACCCCCGACCCCCCCGGACAGCAGGCTGACGTGGGGGGGTGGGCTGTCCACCCCCGACCCCCCCGGACAGCAGGCTGACGTGGGGGGGGCTGTCCACCCCCGACCCCCCCCCCGGACAGCAGGCTGACATGGGGGGGCTGTCCACCCCTGACCCCCCCGGACAGCAGGCTGACGTGGGGGGGCCCGGGCTGTCCACCCCGACCCCCCCCGGACAGCAGGCTGACGTGGGGGGGGGCTGTCCACCCCCGACCCCCCCGGGACAGCAGGCTGACATGGGGGGGGCTGTCCACCCCGACCCCCCCCCCGGACAGCAGGCTGACGTGGGGGGGCTGTCCACCCCCGACCCCCCCGGGACAGCAGGCTGGGGGGGGGGGCCGGCCCACCCCGACCCCCCCGCCGGAGAGGAGGCTGACGTGGGGAGGGGCCGTCCCCCCCCCCCCCCCCCCGGGACAGCAGGCTGACGTGGGGAGGAGCCCCTGCCCAAGTCTGTGTCACCGGAACTCACCAGCGAAGCCGACGGCCATCAGGCGTGTGCCTGTGGACAGGCTCAGGGACATGGCGAAGGAGGGCAGTGGCGTCTTCACCACCACCTACGGGCAGGGGCAGCGGGCGTGAGGCCGGGGCTCCACCCGGCCCGGCCCAGCACTGCTCAGCTGTGGGTGGCACGCGTACCTGTTTCTGGCGCAGGCTGTAGAAGAGTACTTCTGTGTGGGCACCAAGGCCCACACAGATCAGCAGGGCACGGTCCCAGGGGCAGAAGGCAGCAAGGGAGGGTGGGGGGGTGCCTGGGGCCTGCAGGGTACAGTGTGCTGAGTCAGGTGCCCACCCCGCGTCCCACCCACAGTCCACCCGACTTCTTACCTCCAAAGCGGCAGGAGCTGGAAAACTCAACCAGTCCAGGAGTTCACAGTGGTCCCTGGTCCAGTCGGAAACCCAGATGCTCACCCGCTGGTCCCCGCTGGCAGCCAGCCACAGGTCTGTGCCCTCAACCCCTAGCTCTCCATACTGGGGAGGTAAGGGTTAGTCATTGGTGCCTGCTGCCCGTGCCCTACCGTCTCCCCAGGCTGCACGTACCGGTGGGGCTGCTTTTACCTCTTTACTGGTACTCTGGATGGTAGAGATTGGGGAGCCCTGGTGGTCACTGAGCACACGCAAGCTCATCCCTGTGCAGGGGCGACTCACAACCACAAGGCCATCCTTGTCTCCAGAGAGGACAGTCTGACCTGCGCCAAGGAGAACCACAGCCGTGTCCTGTGAGCCAGCGCCCGGCCTAGGAGTGTGGTGTGGGCTGGAGGGGCCCCAGCCGGCCACCCAGCTCCACCGGCTCCTCACCATCAGCGGAGAAAGCAACGGCAGTCATGGCAGCCCGGTGAGGGTGCATCTTGAGTTCCATGGCGGTCTGGGGGATGCTGAAGACACGCAGCGTGCCATCACTGTAGCCGGCCACCACCTTCTGCTGCTCTGGGCGTCTGCAGGATGGGGGGCTCCACGCAAGGCAGAGGCAGCTCTGCAGCCCAGGGGAGGGAACACCAGCATGCCCCAGGGGTGCAGGGTGGAGACAGGAGCACCAGTCTCAAGGACCAGGCCAGCGCCTCAGGAAGCTGGGAACGCTGCTCAGGGGCGTGCTGGTCCCAAGCAAGCCCCCCAGCTCCCCCAGCACCCATCACATACCTGATTCAGCACCTGGAACTGGATCACCAGCTCCATGCTGGCCAAGGACCACACCCGGACACTTCCGTCCTCACCACAGGTGGCACAGTGGGACTCACTGGGGCTGAAGGCCACCTCATTCACCTGCGGGGCCCGTCTGAGCTGAGGGCCGCCCGACCGGGCCTTCCCGACCCCAGCCTCCACAGCAGGCTACCGTGCAGGAGTACCTCCTCTGCCTAAGCCCTCCTGACCAGGCTACCTCCGCGTGGAGGACAAACACTTTGTTTTTTGCTTTTGTCAGTCGTGGAGCCTGAACTCTGGGCCTAGACGCTGTCCCTCAGCTCTACAGCTCAAGGCTCTCGCTCTACCACATGAGCCACAGCATCACTTCTGGCTTTTTTTGCTTATGTGGTGCTGAGGAATTGAACCCAGGGCCTCAGGCATGCCAGGCAAGTGCCCTACCACTGAGCCACCTTCCCAGCCCCCCAATTTTTTTTTTAAGTGGTAGCTGCAGATGAGATGTTGTGATACAAAGAGACCCAGTAGTGTTCCTAAGAGTCTGTTCTCAAAAAGCCTTGCTTTTTGCTGGGCTGGAGGTGTGGCTCAAGTGGTAAAGTGCCAGCCTAACAAGCACAAGGTCCTGAGTTCAAGTCCAGTACCAAAGAAACTAAGTAAGAAATATATATTGTACTTATAAAACTGGGGCTGGGAAGGTGGTCAGTGGCTGAGTGCTTGCCTAGCATGCATGAACCCCGGGTTTGATTCCTCAGCACCACATACACAGAAAAAGCTGGA